ACGCGCCCGGAAAGCCGGGGAGAGATTTTATGCGATTTCCCTGCTGTCTGGGAGATGGTCTAAATGACACACACCTGTTCTATCGCTGCTGCAATCTGTCGAAAACTGGCGATGGTGACGTCAGCTGTCCAAGATGGTGGCCGCTGGCTTCCTCGGTGGGCTGTCCGGGGTGGAGGACAGAACTGGACCGCTTCCTTCTCTGTCTCAAACCCAGAACTCAGCCCGGAGCACAGTGAGGGCACAGCCCATTTCTCTGCGTTTCTGGCCTGCCGTTTCCCCCCGGCGGGCCGCAGTCTGTAGCAGCGGGACGGGCAGCCAAACAAACAGCCTGGATCTCTGGGTGCACGGTTCACTCGCGGTTGAGCCCCAGTAACCGATCCTCGGGCGATGGAAATCCTTCCTCTAGGTTTTGGTGCACCCCAATTTTGCTGGAAATTCCTAACAAGATAGCTTTTGGCCGTTCTAACTCGTTATTCACCTGCGCAGTGACGCGGTACACGGGGGTGATGCACCCTATTCGCCGCCATCTTCCTCTCCCCCCACCCCCCAGCTTGGGTCTTGCTCATGGTTGGTGGGTGTGTTGCTCCGAGCTTAGGAGGGACTTTTCCATGCCTCAAGCTTGCCCAGGGGAACCCCAGGGCAGCAATAGTGGAGTTACCACGGGCAGGCCTGCAAGCATCTCGGGCTTCAGATTCCACGGAGAAGGCCAAGGTGTGGAGTCAGGATGTCTGAGGACTCCTGGGCAGTGGCTAATGGTGGGTTGGGCACCAGGGTCTGAGAGGCAGTGATGGTTCCTGCAGCCTCTAGGGCCCAGAAAGAGCTCAGGACCCTCAAGGACAAAGGTGCAGGTCACCCTGCACCAGACAGAGAGCTGGCCATGGTGCAGACATCCTGAATGCATGAGGGAGGAGGGGTGAGGAGCTCTGACTGTGGCCCTGGGGAGCTGGCTGTCACCTGGAGCAGCCACCCATCATTCTGAAGGCTCAGCCAGGCTTGGACTTGCATGGGACACAGGTGGACTCGAGCAGTGTGGGGTGGAAGGGGGCCTATGGGGGCGGATGCCACCTGCCCCCCACCTCACATCCTCTGGGCCTCTCCACTGATGCCAGGTGCACACAGATATGCCTTGCTCTGCGCCCGCAGTGCCTCTGAGAGCTTCCTGTCTTAGCTTTCCGCCCCGGGGCTTCTCTGGCACTGTGAGGCAGGAAGGCAGGAACCAGCCTGGCACACCCAGGCAGCCTGGTGTTACCGTTGTTTACCGGTGACGAGTCCTCGCTTCCCCAATGCTAGAGTATGTCACTAGAGAAGCACGCCTCGCAAGGTTAGAGTCGAAAGTAGAGGCTTTATTAAAAGACAGCAGAAAAGACTTCTCCCAGAGGAAGAAGGGGACCCAAGAAGTGGAATCCGTGGAAGGGCGGGCAATGTCTTCCCCTTTTTATAGCTAAGGACTTCATCTGGTTCCCCCCCATTCCTGTCCTTTGTTCCGTTATCTTTCCGTGATGGGGTGGGCCAAAGGAGTAATCTGGGCAGGAAGGACTTTTGGGTCAGCATCTCCAAGTTTGCTGGGAGCTGTTTCATTAACACTTCTTTGGGATGGGCTCTGGGCCTTGGGGACATTAACGTTCCAAGAGTTGTTCTGCTTTTCCCGGACTCCATTCTCAACATGGTCTTCATTTTGGGTTTCACTCAATATTAGACCCGATTTACCCAACTACGCTGACTGCCTAACTTTAAATCTGGCTTCACTGGTGCCAGAGCACTCTCCTGGGCAGCCCTCCCGGGGCAGGGATGGGAACCTCTGGTGCACAGCTCTGAGGGTGTCCTGAGCGCCCCTCAGCAGGTTCTGGCTGGACCCAGACCCAGTGTCCAGTAGCTGCAGCTGACCCGTTCTCTCTCTGTGCACGTGGACCACCTTATTTCCTCTTCCTGGTCCCCATCTGTGCATCCTGGGATTGTCTCCTAAAGAACTCATTCCCTCCCTAGTCCTCCTCCCAGAGCTGCTTGTGGGAGGCCTTGGATCAGGACATCTTTTACTCTCGGGCAGTTTTCTGGGCTGGGTTTGGGGTCTTTCTCTTGAGAATGCCACGAGGAGCTTAGCCACTTGCAGATCTGCCTGGACTCATCCTTGTGGAACTCAAGAGAATGTCAGGTGGGCGACACCCCCCCTCCTCAGCCCTCGCACTTTCCAGCATCCCAGAGACAACAAGGGACAGCTCCTGGACATGGTCCAGGGGAAGGCATGCCAGGCCTCGCACAGTGTGTGCTTCCAGGCTGTGGCCAGGGTCCGCTCATCCCCAGAGTGCAGGGGACACCCGGTGCCCGTGAGCCCGTGGAGGCAGGGTTTGGGCTGAAGTTCTCCAAGCCTCCGCAGCTCCCCGGGTGGGACTTTCACTTCTGAAAAAACAGAGGAGGCTTCTGGCTATAATATCATTGGAAATTCTTGGAAAAAAAGAGAACCAACATCTTTTCAGTACATGTCAGTGTTTCTGTAAGGCGGGGAGATTCCAGGAGACGAAGAAGGGGGAAGCTGGCATGGGCACCATCCTGATGGACGCACCAGTTCCTGGAACTCAGGCCCTTGGATTTGAGGAGATCGTGGGTGAGAACCAGCAACGAAAACCTCACAATAAAGCAGGGCTCTGCGGGCCCATATCCCTAAAGCACTGCCCTGACGGATCCTGTCTGTCGGCGATGGAGAGATGGAGAGCGCAGTGACCGCAGGCCCCGGGCAGGGGGCGATGTCCGAGCTCACAACCACAGGCCATGGTCATGTGGATAAGGGGTTTGGGTTTCAATTTTCACCCCTCCCGGGACACCACTATGTCTGACCCTGAGGGTGATCCCTACCTCCCACAGCTAGTGCCCGCTCCACCCCTGACTTGGGAAGACGCCCCCACCCCAGGATCAGAACGGGAGACCTACTGGTTCTCTCTGAGTTCCCAACTTCTGAATTTGCCCTGGGAGAGAGTTGAGCTTGCCATGACCTGGGGCATAAGAGACCAGGCCGCACCCTTTCCCAGGAGCAATAATTCAAATGACCTTCATCTCCTGTGGTCCCAGGCTGTCCTCAGGCACCACCCAGGCTATGGCCAGGTTTATCCTACCCACGTGGCTCCTTGCTTCACCCGACCTGGCCCAATCCGCCTCCCTGGCCTTCCAACCTGCCGGGAGCTCCTGGCTCTCACTCCACGGCCCTGAGGCCCTGACGCACAGCCGCTCCCAGGTGGTCTCTCCACATCTCCCTGGGGGACGGCTTCTGGCAGATTGAGGGAACTCGTAGCTCCTGAGCTGGGAGCAGGCAGGAGCAGGGGTCCCACCATCCTCATCTCCACTTTAGATTATTTCCCTCCCCTGTCCCAGACCCTCAGCTCTTGAGGTGCACAGGCTCCTGGCTGCACCGTGGTGGCCAGTCCCTGCTGACCCGGGCAGCCAGGGGGGTCAGCTCCTCATCTGCCGCCTCTGCACCTGAGCTGGTTCCTGAGCATCTCCAGGGACCTCAACACCACACATGTAATCCACTCAGTGCCCTGGACACCCGGTTCCTGATCTTGCCACGTCCTCCAGTCCTCTCATCCAAACAGCCATCGCTCCACAGAGTGTTCTGTGGGTCCTGCAATGCTGACCCCTCTTTCAGGCTCTGATAAGCACCACTCCCGCCATCCACCACCTGCTCCGTTCCAGCTCATCTCTTCTACTTCCTTGAATTAAGTCACTTCACATCATTGGTGCCTTCAAATATCTGATCCTATTTGGTTAT